GAAGCTCTAAAATTGATGGGATTCAAAGACTCAAAGGCTGACAGCTCATTGTTCTATAAAAACAGTCAAGGTAGTTCATTGTTTGTACTCATATATGTTGATGACATCCTTGTCACAGGAACTCACAACATTGAGATAGATAGTTTTGTCAAAAATTTTGGAAAAATGTTTGCTATCAAAGATCTTGGAGAGCTAGAACATTTCCTTGGGATTCAGGTTACTAAAACAGTTGATGGGCTGCACTTAAGTCAGGAAAAATACATTTTGGAACTACTGAAGAGAATGAAAATGCATGATGCTAAGGGAGTTCCCACTCCCATGGTGTCATCTCCTCACTTATCCAAAGATGAAGGAAATCCCACAGTTGATGGCACATTATACAGGAGTGTTGTTGGAACCTTGCAGTACATAACTCTCACTAGGCCTGAAATCAGTTATGCTGTGAACAAGGTCAGTCAATACATGTCTTGCCCCTTGGACACACATTGGAAAGCTGTGAAAAGAGTATTAAGGTACTTAGCAGGAACAATGGACCATGGTCTACACTTCAAAAAATCAGGCACTCTTAATATTAAAGCTTTCTCTGATTCAGATTGGGGGGCAGACATTGATGATAAGAGATCAACTTCAGGCTACTGTGTGTTTCTTGGAGATAATTTGATATCTTGGTGCTCTAAGAAACAAGCTTCAGTTTCCAGATCCAGCACTGAGGCTGAATACAGGAGTCTTGCCCATGCATCTTCTGAGGTAACATGGATTAGCTCTCTTCTTGCAGAAATTGGAATGAGAATGGTTAAAACTCCTGTTGTGTGGGTTGATAATCAGAGTGCAGTTTTCTTAGCTTCTAATTCAGTCATGCATGGAAGAACTAAGCATGTAGAGCTGGACTACCATTTTGTTAGAGAGAAGGTTGAAAATGGTAGCTTACTGGTGTGTCATGTTCCTTCAGTAGAGCAAATAGGAGATGTGTTCACTAAGCCTTTGTCTGTGCAATTCTTCTCTCGGTTAAAGAACAAGTTGGGAGTCAGAAGCAAGACCTCGATTGAATTGAGGGGGAGTGTTAGCAAACTTGATGATATGGCAGCTGATTTGGAAGCCAAGCTGGCAGTTTCCCCACAGCCAACAGCAAAAGAAAAGGCAGCCATGCATGAGGACAATGGCATTAATTGCCATGCAGCTTTATCTGCATGCTAAAACAGATCTTCAGTTTGGTCTTTTAGCAACCGTAGGATCACATCTCTTGCTGTACAAGTGTCCACCTTAGCCACCTTAGATTAGTAGTATAAATATCCTTATTGTACACATTTTTCGATCTCTAGGTTTTATGTATGAAAAGCTTGCAGCTGCTATGAGATATTCATTGTGTTCTTCATTTTTCTTGATGAATTTGAGTTGCAAATTTCATTAGGAAGCTTTAGAGTGATGTTTTGAAAGATCATGAATAAGCTTAAGACATCTATATTTTATAGGTTGAGCATGGATTTAATTGAAATGTATCTCAAGTCATCTATAGCTTTGCACTTAATTAAATGCAAACAAATTGAATTAATGATAGATAAATCACAATGACTCTTGTAAATAATTTTATTTTATTTTTCATTTTTGGGACATAAGTTGATAAGTACTTTTTGTAACCTCTAATTGAACTTTTGTCTTCCCCCTTTAATGTATTTTTATCTTGAATAGTTTCATGGTAAGAAACAGGGGGAAACAAGTGCGGTTCAACTAACATGAAGCGCACTATGAGATGGAAAAGCTCATATTAAGCTCAAGTGAGATTACATCCCAAAACTAATTGGTGGAAGGAGGAGTAGTCCATTAGACTTATAAGGTGGATCTATTTTTCATGTATGAACGATGTGGGACAACTCACAAGTGATATTCTAACAGACCCTCCTCACTTTGAGTCCTTCGAAAGTCCAAGCTCAAGTCCTACTAGAAACAGACTCCCATAAATGGGTACGTGGGCCCAAGCCCTACAGGCTCCAATAAACGGGTATGTGAGCCCAAACCCTACTGGAAACAGGCTAGGTAAACGAGTACGTCATCGCACGGTCCCACATAGAACCGACTCTGATACCATGAAAGAGACGGGAGAAAAACAGGTGCAGTCCCACGCGCATCAAGACAGAGAAAACCCAGATGAAGCCCAAGTGGGATTCCATCCCAAAACCAATTGGTGGAAGGAGAAGTGACCCATTAGACTTATAAGGTGGTTTATTTTTCATGTATGAACGATGTGGGACAACTCACAGGTGATATTCTAACATGCCCCTTCACTTGTGAGTTCCTTCAAAAGCCTAAGCCCAATTAGATTGGGTGCCTCAAGCCTACTAGAAACATACTCTCATAAACGGGTACGTGGGGAAGCAGACTCCCATAAACGGGTACGTCATTCACGGTCCCAATAGAACCGGCTCTGATACCATGTAATAAATTGGGGAAAAAAATGGTGCGGTCCCACTAACATGAAGCGCACCATGAGAGAGAAAAGCTCATATGAAGCCCAAGTGGGGTTCCATCTCAAAACTAATTGGTGGAAGGAGGAGTAATCCATTAGACTTATAAGGTTGGTCTATTTTTCATGTATGAACAATGTGGGACAACTCACAAGTGATATTCTAACATTAATGATGAATGGATTTAAAAATCTATAAATGTGAGTTTGAGGGTAATTGTGTGATATTTAATTTTTAACCTGTTTTTAATTTATTGTTTTGACTTGGCTATTTTCATGTGATATGATAAAACATCAGGTCCACATGCACCTCCTAATTGTGAGTGAATGGATAGTAAATTTCAGTTGATGCGATGTGTAAGTATCAATAGTTGATATTATTTTAATTATATTGATAATATTGAAGATAGCGATGTAGTTAAAGTTGAGGTAAAACAATGATTAAATTTTCTTAGATATCTTGGGCGTAATTGGTTATGGGATATGATCCAACTCAACTAATTATAACCGGATCATTTCATATTCAATCACCTAATTGATATTCCAACTCACTTTTAACTCTCATACTTTTTATAAGGATAATTAAATAATATCAATCAATCTTTCTCATTAATCACATCAACTTTAATTCATTATTAATCAGCTCACATACATTTAATTATCTATCACTTCTTATAATCCCTCTCACATCAACTTTAATCATTATATTTTAATAATATTTACTTTCAAATCTGCTTTATTAAAATAATTCACTTTAACTCACCAAATTAGATCATAACCGATGTAATTTATATGTATCCAAGCATGCACCAACACAAATTATCCCCTATGTTTTGCAAAGCCGGGTCCGACCAAACCGACCTTGATTTGATAATTTACCTATCTTTCAAGTCTTATATTGAAAAAACTCCCATAATCTATATATATATAATTACTAGCTCTTCTACATTTAAGAAAACCTCATAAATTATACCTAGGTGACACTTTTACATTTTCCCTCCAAAAACCGTTACTTTCATTTATTTAACCTAATTAATAGATAATCAATACACTAATCAATTTAAAATACAAAAATCATTTTGAACTTTTGATTACTGACATTTAACCATATAATGTGTTACCGTATAATGTGATTAGATATTATTATTGTGGTTACATGTAAATTATTTTTTTTGGAAAATAAAAAAAGTATATGAAACTCCTAAATAAATTATAAATATTTTTAAAAAAAATATATACCAAAATATAAGTTACATCCAATCTAATAAACTCAATTTAAAAATAAAAATTAACTCCTTTAATTGTAAATTTGACTGCGAAAAGTGATTCCCGTTTACATTTTTGCAAATGCACATGTAAAATACTAGTAATTCTAGTTTTAGCGGTCTAGTTATCGTTGCTTCGACGACGCGCCTAGTTTTATTGTGGGAGTTGGACACGCTATGACCGCACACCATGGTTGGCCGACCAACATAGGAAATCTTTAGTCACGCTCCATTTTATATTTTTTGTATAGCATAAATCAAATCGAACGCAGGACCCGTTGTTTATTTTCCGCTTGTTCTTGTTTTTTCGCTTTCCTTTTTCATCGTGGGCTCTGCTTGAAATTTCTCCATCCGGCACGAAATTGGAAAAATTATTCAGGCGAGGGAGATTCGTTTCTTGTGGATCGAGGTATGGCGCTGACGGATTTACCTGGTTTTTTTCTCACTTGTTGAAAAAATTGAATCTTTTTATGTTGGTTAGTTGCGCATGATCTGTTCACGATCGAGGGATTTGGGGTTAGATTTCTGTTGATTGGCTGGCTTCTTGTTGTGGGGATCGATTTAATTTGCATTTGCAGCTTTAAATGTTCACGATCGAGGGATTTGGGGTTAGATTTCTGTTGATTGACTGGCTTCTTGTTGTGGGGATCGATTTAATTCGCATTTGCAGCTTTAATTTTTTTTTTTTTCTATTGGAATTTGGTATATTTTTTCATTTAAATGAGAAATTTTGGTTCCATCTGTAATCGTGGATCCTAGTGAAATAGCTGTGAAGGACCTTTTCCATTGGGATCGTTAATTTTTGTGTGTGTGTGTGTGTGTGTGTGTGTGTTTGTTGACCCGAATTGAAAACGAAAGAAACATACGTCGTCCTCCATGATTCAGCTTTGACGATCATGAAAATCCTAATCTTGTATTTGGTTTTGATCCTTTCCGTCTGCAGTTGTGAGATGCTTTATTCGTGTTTCTAATCAGATTTTGACCTCGATTTGTGCCTATTTCCCGATTTTTTCTTCCGCCAGGCGGAAAAAAAAAATCAATTTTTGTTTCAGATTCTTCTATTATGAATGGGATCTGAGATGCTTTATTCGTGTTTCTAATCAGATTTTGACCTCGATTTGTGCCTATTTCCCGATTTTTTCTTCCGCCAGGCGGAAAAAAAAATCAATTTTTGTTTCAGATTCTTCTATTATGAATGGGATCTGATGAAAACATCCACGTTTCTTTCTTTCCTGTTCAATTTTTCACAGTAGTTATAACCCACTCGAGTAGCCAAGATGTTGGAGCAACTACTCATCTTCACAAGAGGAGGCCTAATCCTCTGGACGTGCAAGGAGCTCGGAAATGCACTCAAAGGCTCACCCATCGACACTCTCATTCGGTCCTGCCTTCTCGAGGAGCGTTCGGGCGCAGCCTCATACAACTATGATGCCCCTGGGGCTTCGTACACCCTCAAGTGGACCTTCCACAATGAGCTAGGCCTCGTGTTTGTTGCCGTGTACCAGCGGATCCTCCACCTCCTCTACGTGGATGACCTTCTTGCTATGGTGAAAAAAGAATTTTCCGATATTTACGACCCCAAACGGACCTCGTACGCGAACTTTGACGATATTTTCCAGCAGCTGAAGAAGGAAGCCGAGGCCCGTGCGGAGGAGATGAAGAAGTCTAAACAAGTGGCCAAGCCCTCAAACAACAATAATCTCGGCAGGAAACAGGCACGAGTGGCCAACGGCATGTTCGATGGAGGCAATCAAAAAAAGAATGGGAATGAGTCCGGTAAAGATGGTGATGCCTTAGATCGTTCGCTAGAAAATGGTAGCCTTAGGAAGAATATTAGTAACAGCGGTACAGGAAAAGGGGAAGTGATTAGCTCGAATGGGAAGGAAAATGGTTCCTCGAACAACGGGGCTTTTGATGTGAGCAAACTGCAGAAGCTGAGGTCGAAAGGCGGGAAGAAGAGCGAGGCCACAGTTGGAAAGGTCCCTAAGGTGGAGCCGAAGAAGGTGACGAAAAAAAATAGGGTTTGGGATGATTCGCCTAAGGAGACAAAGCTCGATTATACAGATGGGACCGATGAGGATGGGGAGCAGAACGTGTCGAGTGTGGTGGAAAATGTAGGAGAGAGTATGATGGATAAAGAGGATATTGTTAGCAGTGATAGCGAGTCTGAGGAGGAGGATGTGGGAAAGGATGGTAGGCAGGATGGGAAGAAGAAAGGGTGGTTCTCGTCCATGTTCCAGAGGTATATTTGCTGTCGTGCACCTCAAGTCTGTGAAAAAAAATTGTATTTTCATCCTTGTTATGATTTATTCATGCTTTAAAACCTTTATGTGAGTATAGAACTGTTGGTCGTTAACTGCGTGTACTTCCTTTATGAAATTAAGTATGAGGTGGGAAATGGAAAGAGAAATGCTCCTTTCTCTCTTATTTTTGGTCACTGAGGTGCTTTTACTTGAGATGTGTTGATTTTCTCCGTGGTATTTTTAGATTCTTACAGTCTTCATGAATTACTATAAGCATGCCTGTGGAGATGGGGAAACATTTTATTCTCCCGTGTCGAAGTATTAGAAATCTTATTGTTTTTTTGCCAGAAACATTTGCGCTGTTTATTCTGTCGGTTCTTGATATGTGAAAAAGATGTAATATCTTTTGCATACAAAGATGCTGAGAAAATAATTTCTTTATGGTTATTTTGTGCTCCGTTTGTTGCATTAATGATTATATTTACAAGTAAAACTACATTTGATGATTTGTATATTGGTTGCCATGTCATTGTAACCATGCACTTGGTCTGTTTTGACCTAATGTTTGTATTTGCAGTATTGCTGGGAAAGCAAACTTGGAGAAATCTGACCTAGAACCAGCTCTCAAAGCTCTCAAGGACAGGCTCATGACCAAGAATGTGGTATGTAGTTCACATCTTATCTACCAGTTCATCCACTTAAATTCTACAATAGGATGTTTAATTTGGCAACTAGCTTTTACTAATGTAGTACTAAGTCATTCTTCCTTCGATATTAATACTTCTTGCCCTGTTTTTCTTAATTGGTTTTTGTTGAGCAGGCAGAAGAAATAGCTGAAAAACTTTGCGATTCAGTAGCTGCAAGTCTTGAGGGCAAGAAGCTAGCCTCTTTTACCAGAATTTCTTCAACTGTTCAGGTACACTGTAACAATTTAGGAAATTCCAATTGCAATTAAGCAAATGCATGCTTAATATTCTTTTTTAAGAAAAAAAAATGTATGATGCCACTTTTCTCGTTTTTACCGAGTCTTCCTAAAATTGATTTCTTATCAGGCTGCCATGGAAGATGCCCTTGTCCGTATCTTAACTCCAAGACGCTCCATTGACATTCTTAGAGATGTCCATGCTGCCAAGGAGCAAGGAAAACCCTACGTCGTGGTTTTTGTTGGAGTTAATGGAGTTGGTAAATCCACCAATCTTGCTAAGGTTAGTTCCGATTAGCAATGTTCCGAAAGTTGATTATATGTATCTTCTTTGTTAAGTTGCATATATTTATCTTGTAATGCCTCTATACAGGTTGCTTACTGGCTTCTTCAGCACAATATCAATGTCATGATGGCTGCTTGCGACACTTTCAGATCAGGTGCAGTCGAGCAGCTGCGTACTCATGCACGAAGGCTCCAGGTAGAGTTTTTTAATGCCCGAGTAGTAAGTTCTTCACTCCAGATATTGAAAAGCCGGCTGATTTTACATCTAACTGTGATGATAAATGGTATTTGCAATCAGATCCCGATATTCGAGAAGGGTTATGAGAAAGATCCCGCAATTGTGGCAAAAGAGGCCATCCAAGAGGCCACTCGAAATGGATCGGATGTTGTTCTGGTCGATACAGCTGGAAGAATGCAGGTAAATTTGATCTGATAATCTATATGAAATGAGATGATGTGTTGATGGCATTATTTTATTATACGCCCTACATTTTAGTGATGTCTATTATATTGTTTTAGGATAATGACCCATTGATGCGAGCTCTGTCGAAGCTTATATATGTGAACAATCCGGACCTCGTTTTGTTTGTTGGCGAGGCACTCGTGGGGAATGATGCTGTGGATCAATTGTCCAAGTTCAATCAGGTCAATCAGAATCGTTCATCTCTCCACTTTACGTTTAGTGTACCCAATTTATTTTTTTTTTTTTTTTTTTTTTTTTTTTTTTTTTTTTTTTTGATAAAGAGGTTTTTTTCTTTCTTGAATATGTTGCAGAAACTAGGCGACCTATCTCCCTCTCCCAATCCTAGGTTGATTGATGGAATCCTCTTGACTAAATTCGATACTATCGATGACAAGGTAAAAAACGAACACCTTTGTAAATCTCTTCTTATTTAGTCGATATTTCTGCTAAGTACATAGCTAATGGTTTTCAGGTGGGAGCTGCATTGTCAATGGTATACATATCGGGAGCACCTGTAATGTTTGTCGGGTGCGGGCAGTCGTATACCGACTTGAAGAAGCTTAACGTCAAGTCTATAGTCAAGACTCTCCTCAAATAAGAAAGATAATTTTTCGTCTTTAGACCTTTGTGCGAAATTCAAATGTTGTTCGTCGGCTTGTGACTGATCAACTGTGTGAACTGTGAACTTCCCCATATGTTATATTTGCTACTTTGCTAAATAAAATTGAATGGTGTGTTTAACTTTTGTATGTGCTATCTATTCCTATTGTCATTTCATTAAGGAAATATGTTTACCTATTTTGCTATTCCTTTATGAACCTCCTAAAATCTTACCATTATTCTACTTTTCAATAAAGCTTAAGCATATTTAAGGTAGTTCATAGCATAAAAATAACTACATAGCAATAAAGCTTTTGATTACATGGAAACACATGAAACTGGAGCAACAATGTGTTGTTTGGTTGAATATTGAACACATCATTCATATGATATAACAGTCCTCATGAAAAGGCAAGCTCGCACTCGTTTGATCCCCGTGTAAACAATGCGATTTTCTGAAGCGCATTAAATTTCGTTGTCAAGTCTAAATCAATCCCCTCCGAGGTGTGTACTTCCATCCTTTTCAACACTTTGGCATTCTTCAGAAAATACCTTGCCATGCTAAACTCGGGCTCCCTACACTCGAATTCATCAACTCTTACCATTGCTAGACGAACTAACAGGCATCTCGGCACTTGTTTGGGCTCTTCCCAGATTCTGCTATTTAAGCGATCCTGATAAGAGCAGTAAGTAATCATATCAGACTCCAAGAAGAAAGAACTACTGATCGAGGGGAAAATAAAAAAA